GCTAATTTAATTAATGTGACTGAACAAAGGTTTTTATTTTGAAGAACAGAGCTTGGTCTATACAATGGGACCCTGATACTCATAGAACAGGTGGAACTGGTGTTCCTCCTCTACTGAGAAAGAAAACAGAATAACTAGTGAAGCACTGATTCTTATTGGTATATGGTTCTATGGCTCTATATCTATGGTATACGGTTCTGTGGCTCTTTACTGAAGAACTTTCCCCAAGAATTCACCTAAACAGATCAGGGTACAGCACAGATACTACAGTGAAAATAAGCATATGTTCTGATTCATTTCCTAGAGTGCCTACAGTTTCTTCAACAAAGGAGCTGAGACAATAGGAAATACGCAGAGAAAAGTAAATCAGAACATTTCAATAAAGAGAAAATTAAAAGAAAAGGACAAACAAATCAATGCAAACCCACAGATTCATACCAGCCGTTCTCCAAGGAAAATTCATTTGTAACTTAATTAAATGCTTCCCAGAGAGACAGGCATAATTAAAATACAGGGTGCCTGGGTTGAGTTTCAAGGAGCAGCAGACCCTCCTTGACTCCACTCCACCCCATCACTCCTGCCTGCTGCAGTTCACAAGGCTGCATTCTAGTTCAATTATAGGTACTTTCCATGAAACAATATAATTAGAAGCAGTTGAATTTCTCTTGTTCTCCATCAGACCAGCAAAGTGTTCCTTCTCTGGAGCAATTTGTAATCATGTTTAAAGTCTTTCAATCTTGTGCCTAAAGATGTTATTACTTGTTTCAATGATATTCTTAAAATACTTTGCTTTTGTAAAATTTATAAGCATTGTACTTATAAGGCTTCAAGAAGGACTCCTACATATAGGGTGTGTTCCCAAATCCATTAGAGGTGAGGATAATCAAAGACTTCAGCGTCAAGACAGGCCAGAATAGAAACGATAAATTTGATAATCCTTAACATTTGGGAAAATGTGTTTCTACATTTCTGGATGCTTTCACAAACTCCTCAGTCTAGAAACTTTTAAAACAATTTTCTTCATGCGATTTCTACTGCTTTAAAATTAGAGAGATGCTAGAAATCACATCCCACCACAAATGACCTCTCTCAGTCAAGATGGTGGCTATTTCCCTCCTGTTCTTTACCAAAAGCAAGAGGTTCAAAAGCAAATGAAAAGTATTAACAAAAAAAGGTTAAGCACTATGGCTAAGTATAGACAGTCAAAAAGCCCAAGGCTGAATTGATTCAGTTTTTGCAGGCTAGTCTAAGCTGCAAAGATTGAACCAATAAGCAAATGAGCAGACAATCACTTTTGATTGAGGAAATGCAGCCAAATGCTTGCAGTAGCTCAAGCCAGAAGCTGGGGGGCACTAGAGCAAGCCTGCCAGCCACTGTCAAAGGGAAGGGAACAGAGAAGCTCTCCAAGACTTCCCTCCCCTCCCTGCTGGAGTGGAGGGGGCATGGCCAGGCCCCAGCCCATGCTCTGCCTGGGCAGGGGATGCTGCCAGGCTGAGGAGCGGGTGGGTGTGGGGAAAGGTAGCGGCATTGAATTGATAAAAGCTTGAACAAAAATAGTTCTTTCTCTGAAGTAGTATAAATTGAAGAACTATAAACACAGCATAGCTGTATGTTTACTTCCTCTTTCGGCTGCCCCCAAGATCTCTGGGACTTGCCATCCAGAATCACAACAGTAGGACTCTGCCAGGTTGCTCGTCACTTCCTCTTCCTGCTTCCAAGTGTCTCTTGGATTTGTAATCCACAGTTGCAACCAACAATTAGTAAGCAGGGCTAGGTAGCTCTGTACTTGGGGGATGGGGAATTTAACCTCTTCCCTGGCCCCAGACCCCAGCCAGGGTTTGCCTGGGGGGAGGCAGTGAGCCAGCCCTCACTGCTCAAGCTAGGGAGCAGAGGGGCGGGATCAACCCTGCTTTCTGGAGAAGATGGCTCAGCCCTGAGCAGCCCCGTGCTGAAAAGCATACAGGGATGTTGGGGAACCGTGATTTAACTGTGAAGGGGTCTAGGACAGAAGTTTCATAAATCGGTTTGACCCAAATCAGTTAAATCTGATACTACGTTCAACCAGGTTTATCTTAAACCAGTTTGTTCAACCATGTTTATCTTAAACCAGTTTCAACCATTTTGAAACTGTTTTATGTGCACTGAACTTCCGTTCTGTTACAGATTTAAACCTGTTCTGTTCACTTAAACCAGTTTATGTGCAACTTCTGTCCCTAGCCTACTTGACCTATCAGACCTGAATTTAGTTGGCATTCTATCTAAATCTTTGGGTTCATCAAACCAAACCACTGGTATTTCCAGCGCATGGCACAAGGCTCAATTCAAAAGAAACTACATTTTCATTTGAATGGACAGAGATATTTTCTCCATGTTCAACATTTCCATTTTCTTATGATAACCAACTGATATAGCTTATGCTAAGAATACTAGGAACACAAAGTACATGCTTAGATATGAACTTCCACAAAGTGAGTGGGTCTTGGATTGGGGGTTGAGTGTTCTAATTAATAAGAATATTCCCTGCACCATCCACTTCAATTCCTAAATGAGAAGGATTTTAGCTCACAGACTTTTTAAACATTCTCTTAGAAATGTTACTGCATTAGTGAATTCCAAGAAAGCAAGTTAGGAAATTTAAAGTTTTAGTGATGAAAGACTTAAAATACTTTTCTAGAAACTTAGCCCCAATTCAAGAAATCCTAATGCTTAGATTTCTAATTACTTTGCCATTCTAGCTCATTATTTCCACTGTTTAACTCAGGAAATGAATAGGCAGGGCTAATTTTCCTGTGTGGTCTGTCTCTATTTCCACTCTAAGTCCTTCAAGAGAAGTAGAGTTGAAAACATTTTTCACCTTTTCTCACATCCCTCATTATAGCTTTAGTTACCTGACATTATTAAATATTTTAGTAAATGTTAATAGAGACGTTTCTTGAAGTCACAGTGGGTGCATCTACACAAGACACTACATCGCTATAGTCACGAGTTACAGCAATGTACCTCATCACTACAGCAACGTAGCATCAGCGGGCACGAACTGTGACACCAAAGCTACTGTGCAGTAGCAATGAGCTGTAGCAGTAGCAACTGTGGGTTGGAAATGACCCATGCACCACCAGGGCTGTGCAGTAACAGCAATTACTGCACAGTCATTTAGTACTTGCTAAAGCTAAAGCAAGTACTAAAGAACAACTGTGCAGTCGAGCACACATGTACATGTGCCCAGTAATTAGTGGCCTCTGCTTCCAGGTCAATTAAAAGGAAAGACATTAGAAGTTAAGCTTTTTACCTTATTTCAAGGGAGTAAGGCTTTGTTCTTAAGTTATGGTGCTTTAAATTAAATATTTTGTTTAATTCTTATTTTACTTTTCCATCTCATTTATTTTTGTCTGGTGTTGGAAAAATTGCCCCCAGATCCTAAATCCAGCAGCCACTGGTGAACTTTGCATACTGGTCCAGAGGCTTGAGATGTAAGAAAGTAAGCATCCTGGCCCAAGCCTGCAAAGCTTTTAAGCACATGTTTAATCTTAGGCACCGAAGTCATTGGGGATGTTGTCATGGACTTTCATGGTCCTAAAAATGACAATAGATTTTCTGACATACAAAACGCTCCAGTTCAAACTGTAATACATTGAAGGAGAGGAGTTCCTGTCATACTACGCTGCTTGACATACACGGCCACTTTCTGAAGTGCCTGCATGGAGGTCTGCCTCCATTAACAACCTGACCCCAGGTCTCAGAGCCGATGCCTTCTGTTTACTGCAACCCCAATGAAGACTAGGATCCTGCTCCCAATATAAGTTTTGCAGTTGACCTCCCCAGGGATAGGGATCCAGGAGGAATTATAAAAAGTGCATCATGCAGTTTTCACTGCCTGCCACACTTCGGGTTCATTTATACAACTTCTCTCTTAAGAGAAATCCTAAGATGGGGAGTGATCTTGGAAGTCATGACACAGAACAGTGCATAAGGGAGCTCAATTACAGGAGATGGATAATGTGTGAACCTCAATTATGATAAGTGTGAAGCGATGCACATAGGGAAAAATAACCTCAAATACACATATGAGGTGATTCTATATTAACTTTTACCACACAAAAAAGAGATCTTGGTGTTGCTGTGCACATTTGCTAACGACGTCAAGTCAGTGTTCAGCAGCAGAGAAATAAAGCATCAGGGTGTAAACAAAACACCAAGTATCACATGCCTCTTTATAAATACGCGGTTGGTGCAAACTCCCATTTTTCAGAAGGTTTTGGGTCAAGCTTTGCTGCCTTCAGATAAACAAAGCTATAGTAAATATTATATATAATAGCATATTATATTACTATTATATGAATCCTTCTTGAGCTCTCCTGATTTATTAAGATAACTGCTCTCATGGAAGGACACTTTCGTGAAAGCATGTAGTTATGAGGGTTTTATATAAATTAGTACAACTGTATTGAGTCAGTGTTAAATGTTGGTGGCTGGACAAATATTTCTGGTGCATGTGGACTTCAGTGTCTGTCTTATGTTTATCATAAAAATGGTTTAGTGACCAGAACACGGAGAATCCCAAAGGCAAATTATCAACTCTAGTGTGACATTTGCATCCAGGAGGTTCTCTGGACAGCTGCTAAGGAAAACTGCTGGAGAAAATCATTAAGTTACATTTACCCAAGGTAATTCTCATTCCCCCACCCTCATACAAACCCCCCAAAATGTTCATCAAGTTTGTGGGTGTTCAGACCTGAAGTCTAGGGTTGAGCCTAGATTAAATGTCAACATTATCAACAATGCGATAAAGCCCTCTGGACTACTTTTTATTGGACGTGACCCTTTTTCTAATAGTGCTTCGGAGGGGCAGTTAGGAATATATTCATGCAACTTTCTGGATGAAATACAGGAAGTTGCAAAAAGACCTCAAGTTTGCAGATGGTAAAAATATGAACTGAGTGCTCAGAGCAATCAGGAAAGCAAGGGTTAGATGGAATAAGGTTACAATGCCCAACACTTACACAAAGCAGTGGTGAGTTTCTCTGGCTGGGCATAATGCACCATGGCAACGCACAGGGTGTTCAGAGTAACGACACAGAGGACGATCCAATAGAAGCTTTGTGCTTTCACCATGCGCCGGATAAAGAACCGGAACATCTTCTCTTTCCTCCGGAAATATGAGGAACTTTCATTCTTCCCACTCTTCAGACTGGCACGAGCAAATGGAGACCCTGCACATCAGAGAATAGAGGGGAGAGTCATCACACTAAACCCATGAAGAAAAGAGGGGTGAGGACACCTGAAATCATTCACAACGAAGAACCTCTCCAATCTCCGTAAATACAGTGGACGGAACTTGGCTCAAGGATTGGATTCTTAAGTCACTTCAGGACTCATCCATGAGCCGTGGTAGAGATCATCCTCAAATCGAGGGAGTGCTGATGACAAAGAATACAACTAAGCATGCGTCTGATTGCATTTACATAGACCAAGAAACCCACTTGTCCCAGCCTTCCTAAAAGATTAAATCTCTTTCATAAAAAAGCACCTAACAGGGATGTCCTGCACCTAAACCTGTTAAGGAACTTTGGAAGTCCCAGCCTACACTCTTAAATCCTCCCTCACTGGTTGAGCTAAAAGTATGGGCAGGTCTACTGCGCTGTCCATTCACTAGCTAGCCTGCATACCATGGGTAGCATCACGTAGAGCTGGTTCTGTGGCACAGAGAAAGAGGAACAGGTCAAGTCCCAGCATTGTGTGGTGACCTTCCTTGGGAAACTCAGTTCTGGCTGCCAGAAACCCTGGGACAGAAAATGGGCAAGATTTTTTCTCTGTTCCCCATCACTACCCTGGACTGCTATGCTGAGCATTTACTGCTCCTTTACAGAAGGAAGTGTGTCACTTCATCTAGTGCTTCCTACCCACAGCAGCAGCATCCTGCACAAGGGAAGAGCCCTGGACTCTCTTTTTAGCTTGGTAGGCTGAATACCTTTGAAGTTGTGGATTGGTGGACAATATAGAAGCAAATCCCCTCTCCTAATGCTTTGAGGCTGATACATGAGACGTGAAGGCTGCTGGAGCATGCTAATTAGTATGCTCCAGCAGACACAATTAATCGAGCACTGTAATTACAGCATGTCAGAGCAGCCTCCCCACACATCTACAGGCACTCTTTGTTTTAAAATGGTTCATGGCAGGGATGTCAAACATACAGCCTGCAGGCTGGATCCAGTCTGCAAGCCCTGACTCTGGTTTCTACTGGGGACCTTCCTGCAGCAGCAGCCAAGAGCCCTGGCAAGAGCTGCAGTGCTGGTGCCCAGCAGCACTGTGAAAAGAAGCTTGGCACCATGGCTTGTTCCTGCAAGTCCACGGGATACTGTGCTTCTTCCTGCCTGGTCCCAGACCAGCTGAAGCAAGTGCCACGTGTGCAGGATCTGGCATGGGGTGGCAGTCCCTGGGCCCAATCCAGCCCACATGGCCAGCCCCCACTCCATTCATCCACCTCACGGACCAGTTCCATAAGAGTTATCTGGTCCATGAGGCCAAATGAGTGTGACACCCCTGGTTTAAGGCCACATTCTAAATTGGCTGCCACCGTGGTCTATTGTGGTCTGTTTCGCCCCAACTTTTGGGGTCATCCTGGAACCGTTTGAGATGGATTTCAAGATAACTTCATACTATCTGTACTGAATATTTTAGGAAAAGGCACTTTGGTTTAGCTGACCATAAAGTATGCCCTCACTTATTACTAAGTTGGCTATACAAACAAGATGCCCAGACCATCAGAGATAAGCTTTTATGAACAGGCTCTGTGCCAAACACCTGGCAATGGTTAAGGATCTTAGTGGTGGGAATCTTGTCTTGCCATTTGATCATGCAAAGACAGCACATATTGAACAGACTGCATTTTCGGCTGTAGCAACACGGTGTTGTCCCTGTCTCACTACCACGCTGGAGTGTTATGTGTGGGATTGCTCAATAGACAGTAAGCTTCATGCTGAGGCCCACACTCCAATCACTCCACCGGTAGTGCCACAGCATTTCAAATGCAGAGGTGGCCTTGTAGATTCAGTAATCTCACCAAAAGCTGTGGTGAACTGTTATTATCACTGATTTCATAAAACTCCCTTTAGTAATGAGGAATCACAGCGTTTCATATATTTCATAGATTTTAGGGTCGGAAGGGACCTCAGTAGATCATCGAGTCAGACCCCCTGTCCTGGGCAGGAAAGAGCGCTGGGGTCAGATGACCCTAGCTAGGTGCTTGTCTAGTCTCCTCTTAAAGACCGGCAATGTAAAGGAGAGCACAACCTCCCTTAAAAGCCCATTCCAGATTTTGGCAACCCTCACTGTAAATAAATTTTTCCTAACACGTAATCTAAATTTGCTCTCTGTCAGTTTATGGCCGTTATTCTTAGTAACTCCAAGGGGCGCCCTGGTAAA